ACCCACACACACACACACACTTGTGCTTACTTGGCTTTGGCAATCACCAGTATGTCAGTGAACAGGAAGAGGTGTCTGTCCTGGCTCTGCATCCCGGTCTTCAACTGAGCATGTCCGTGGAGAAGGAAGGACCTATCAGAGCCCGTGAGGTAGGACTGGACCAATGGGCAGGTCTCTGGGCACACAGGAAACAGGAAGCTCTCTCTGGAAGACAAACACATGGAGCCAGAAATTACTGACACATTCACAACTCACAACTTCAATGTGTGGCTCGTGGCACAATATAATAGTGTTAAATGAATTGTCACACATTGGTATAATCAGACAACTGGGAATCTCAGACTACATTCCCCATCAACCCCTTTGCTTTATGTTACAAAGAAGATCATTTTCTTTCTCTTTGGGGTTATTGTTTTTGATTCAATCAAACCTTCACTGTTAAAGCAATCTTTTGTTCCTGCGCTGCTTTAACATACTACTGTTTCTGCAGAATATACCAAGTTAAACTGACTTTTAACGACCTTTTTAATATGACACAGAATGAAAAATGAATACTCGTTATAGAAGACAAAGTATGATGGAAAACTAGCGAGGGGAAGAAGGCCTTTCAATGATTTACATTTATATCACATTTTTTCAGTACTTTCCTGCAGTATAGAACAATTAAAATAAACACAACCTAAACTTGTCCATTTATTGAAGTCTTTGTTGAAATCATTTACAGTTTATAGGTGTGTAAAGAATGCACATTACACATAACATTAGCAGGAGGAAATATTTCAGTTTAGTCAATTAAAACTTTTTAAGGCCTTTTTTTTCTTGAAGAAACTAAAATGTGTTCTTTTTTAAGACGTCTGAACGCCTGCAGATGCCCCAATTTTTGGAGAATGTACTATAATTCCCTTCTTTAAATAATAAAGTAACAATTGATCTGTTTTTGATTAAGTGCGAACAAACGTATCCTCTTTAATATGTCTGAACATCCTCTCTCACACTCCAATGTTGCTTAGTTCAAAAACCAAACACCGATACAACCCGCGCTACTGCCACCTCCACTGTCTCAGTGTACATCATACATTATGTAATATTGTAACTTTTCAACCATCGTGACTGACTGGTAACACTAAGCAGCTGCTAACTCATTGGATCAAACCTCTCTCCTTCTTCTAAAGGAGATCTTCTGAGATTTACAGAGTATATCAGACCCGTAGTGAACAGAAAGACGGCCCCTGTTTCTTATGATTAGTATTAGATTATTCACTTCAGATCTCTGTCTCTCTGTCTCGCTGATATCCTTCATCACCAAATATATCTTCCAAATACCGACATATTGAGTTTGGATGATCCACTTTGAGTTGTGTTTCGGTGATAAGAGATCAAAGGACTCCTGTACTCTTCATTATGGAAATTGTGTTATGTAATTTCAAGTCATATGTGATGTGATTCGGTTGAGAGTTGAGTGCAGTGTGGGGTCAGGAAATCTGCAACCTTCAGAATGTCAAATCTCAAGTTGCATCCTTAAATTGTTGCTTTTCCAAGGCAACATTTGAATAGGAATCTTTCAAAATTTATAAATAAATAAATACATTATCAGTTTAAGTTTTGGTGCGACTGAATGTTTATGGTTCCAAAATCTTTGGTTGCTTTATTAGTGGACTTTAAATGTTCACTTCAGTTGGACTCAAGACTGACTGAAACCAAATTAAAGAATCAAATTAAAAATGTAGAAAACTCATTCATTCACTAAACAGGGACGTCCACAGTGTCGACAGTCCAGGTGGGGGTTCAGCGAGGTGTGCCCCCCCCCCCCCCC